CTATTTTACACTGGTATTCTGTAGGAGCGTGGTCCTTCCCTGGTCGAGCCGACCCATTTGTGCTACAAATATACCAATAATATAGCGGCAGCACAGCTCTACCACGTTCTGGTGCGCTGGTGAGAAAGTTAGGGAATTTCCTCCCGAGGAGGAGCTGCCATGGTGCGGCTGGCGCTGGTGGGGCCGCGGATGTATACGAAAGCGTTCTCGTGACCCTGCCAATATGCGGCGAAGGTGGAAGAACATGGGGTTTTAGTCCATATATAACCCGTCCTTGTCTCAGCGAGGCGTGCAAAAAGAAGTTTACAACTGACAACACAATCACTGTGTAGCCTTCTTTGTTTGAGGTCACTTTACCATCAAGAGTTCCGCATTCTCGTTTGGCCCCTCTTGTATAAAGAGTTGGCGGCAGGTGTTCATGAGTTGCACTCACCATCAGGTGAACTGTTTCTACTGTGACTGTTACTAATGTCGTTTGCCACTTCAGTTTTATAAACAAAAATATAAAAACATTGAATAAACTAATTAGGTTGCAGCTGCAATACGCTGCAGTTACTCGTTATCATTGTCAGGTTACGTCGTCACCCGCCGCGTTTCTTTTTTAACTTAAATTATTATTAGCCAAGAGATCATTAGAATACAAAGCCACTCATTAAATAACTTATCAGTTTAATGTATAGTGCAAATTTAAAGCGTAAGCGGTTAAAAACATATGTATGTTGCATAGAATTCGAATGATTATTTTTAAATCCCAAAACATATTTAAAAGACAATAATTTGACTTAATCGTGTGTTTATTGTTTTTATGTTTTATTGAAGTGATGTCGACTCGACCGTAGAAGAACTACAACCACGTTATACCAGCGTAAACAGCAGTATAATACTGCTTTGCTTCGTATGGTTAGTAAAGAAAATGAAGACCCATTGTGCGTTGCGCCGATTTAAAAAAATAAATACTTCTCAATTCGACCGTATGTTTTTTTGAAGTGAAAACTTCTTTGGAATCGTCGTGATTTCAAACTCGATGATACTAAAAAGCGACACTATAAAGAGACAAACATATTATACATCTATACATACATTTACACGTGGTAGAGCCATGCTGTAGCTACATTGTGGTTGCAACACGAATGGGTCGACTCGAACGGGGTAGGACCACGCTCTCGCAGAATACCAGCGTAAAATAGCAGCTCAATGCTGCTGTGTTTCGTTTGGTGAGTGTAGAGAACCGGAGACCCTTTTTACTGGAAACGAGGTACTCCATCCTAGTCCTCAGGGGTGACAACGCATCTGCATTTTGATTCTTGATCGAAAATAAATGAAGATGTCTACGGGCCACAGCATCCACTTACCATCAGGTGGACTGTGTGCTCTATTCACCTTTATTCTATAATACATTCATTTTTTACATATTTTTTTTCGATAAAATGACTTTATCTATAGAATGAAGTAGATAGCACAAGTACAAAGCAATTTTACTCGCAATTTTCTGAAAGTTTAACTTCTACTGCGTGTGAATTGCACACATGTTTTTTTGTATGTACGTTAAGCGATATCATTGGCGATTGTGAACCGACTCTAATAATTCTTTTTTATTAAATAGGTTATACTTTAGGCGTGGTGCCATATAAATTAAGACAAACAATTTAACCCCTAAGGATGGAAAATAGAGAAAGAAGTTGTACCTAACTATTTAGACTACATTCTTTCTGGTACTCGCATCTGAGTATCTAGAACTTGTGATGTGTTAGTCTACTGAAAAGGTCAAAAATTTAACTTTTAATAAAAAGTTTTTACATGGAAATTATTTTATTATTTTTAGTTCCTTAAGTCGCCTTTTACTTTTACTAAAAGTTTAATTTGAGTGCCATCGAGACATTGTATTTATAAAATATGGGGTGAAAACGCAACTGCATTTTGATCCTTGATTGGGGATTTTGATCCTTGATAGGTATATCTCAATTTCGCTATATAACATTCTAATCGGATGAAGAGATGCAGTAAAAACTCAATTTTAGAACCCTAAAAGGTTGTCGTAATTTGACTCGTATAATTCTTATGACTTAAATCGTTGATAATGAGTAATGACTAAGATCGCAGTATAAACACGTGTTCTCAAACAAAGGACGTTGAGCATCACATAATAAATAATGATACTATGTTAGTTCAATGTTTCTATTTGCAAATGGTGATATATGCACTATACCTAGTCAGGTCATAAGTATTGTCACACAGTAAAAACTTTTCTTTTAGAATGCTGGCCACAAAAAAGTTTATTGAATTCGAATTTCGAATTGTTCATGAAAATAAAACTGTATACTTTTTAGAATTTTACTCATTTTTAAATATGGAGTGGACGCTTAATGAAGACCGTGTTGCAGTTATTGCGTTGCATCGTTGCGGTTACGCTCCAATTCAAATTTTTGACATACTGAAAAATTTGAATATAACCAAAAGATTCGTTTATCGTACCATCAAACGATACAATGAAGACTCTAGTGTAGATGACAGGTCAAGAAGTGGTCGCCCTCGGTCTGTTAGGACTCCAGCAGTGATAAAAGCTGTGAAGGCGCGAATTCAAAGAAATCCCAAACGTAAGCAGAAACTGTTGGCCCTTCAGATGGGGTTAAGCAGAACCACGGTGAAAAGGGTGTTAAATGAAGACTTAGAGCTTCGGGCATATCGAAGAAAAACAGGACATCGTTTGAATGCTCGTCTAATGGACCTGAGACTGAAGAGATGCCGCGCTTTGTTGAAGCGGTACGCGGGAAAAAAATATCGGCAAATTCTTTTTTCGGATGAAAAATTTTTTACCGTAGAAGAGAGCTACAACAAACAAAATGATAAGGTGTACGCACACAGTAGTGAAGAAGCGAGCAACCGTATTCCGCTTGTCCAATGAGGTCATTTTCCATCCTCGCTCATGGTATGGTTGGGAGTTTCTTATTGGGGCTTAACAGAAGTACATTTTTGTGAGAAAGGTGTAAAAACGAATGCAGTTGTGTAGCAAAATACAGTCCTGACGAACCTTGTGGAACCTGTTTCTCATACCATGTTCAATAACAGGCACTGGGTATTCCAACAAGATTCGGCGCCAGCTCATAGAGCGAAGAGCACACAAGACTGGCTGGCGGCGCGTGAAATCGACTTCATCCGGCACGAAGACTGGCCCTCCTCCAGTCCAGATTTGAATCCGTTAGATTACAAGATATCGCAACACTTGGAGGAAAAGGCGTGCTCAAAGCCTCATCCCAATTTGGAGTCACTCAAGACATCCTTAATTAAGGCAGCCCCCGATATTAACATGGACCTCGTTCGTGCTGCGATAGACGACTGGCCGCGCAGATTGAAGGCCGGTATTCAAAATCACGGAGGTCATTTTGAATAAACTTTAGTGTCATAAGAATCTATGTTTTGTTAAGTTCATTTTGGTATATAAATGGTTACATAATGAATAAACTTGTTTCAATTATTTTATATTAAACATGTGACAGAATTTATGACCTGACTAGGTATGTATATGTACTATGTACAAAATATTATACTGTCACTATAATAATTATCGTCAATTAAACTCCGGAATAATGTTGTGGATTTTTGAGTGGAATTCTTGGGCAAAAACAAACCTGGCTATATTTTTTATTATATTAAAGTGACAAGCAATGGATATCCGCGGTCCGTTTCAAAGACGGAAAGAAAGTAAGAGGAAAAAAATCATAATAAGTAGTCCTCATATTAAGAAATGTTCTTTTACATTAGCGTGTTATTTCTTTTTTCGCTAAAATAATAATTAATATTCAATTTTATGTGATGCTAAGGCCCAAGAGTTCATATCGACTAAAAATTTATATTTTATCCAGTCTAGCATTGGCATTGCAAATTGGCGTAATCGCCATGGTTACTTAGTATTCGTTATTAATTATTCATATTTGGTTTCGATTAGTACCCGTTCATAAAAAAAGAATAGAATATTTTTGTTCAATATAATATGTAGATTATTATTATTAATTTTTTATTTTAATTTACCAATGGTTAGGAAAATATTGTGTAAAACCAGCAAGAAACTAAGCGAGATATTGCTTTTAAAAAGTTTTAGGTTTACAAAAATATTCAATAATTCTCCATAAATTTTAATAATATCCTTCAGATTGAATTTCGGTCACGGCGGCCAGTATCAAAGGAGACTAGCCATCTGCGCAGGGCATGACGTCCTTTATACCTAATGCAACGAATGTGTGCACAAGCACAGGTGCATTCACTATTCTTCTATCTTTTCCTTACTCTCTTAGTCCGATAGGACGGCAACACTACTTAACGGAGAGTGATCAGGCGCAATATCAACGGCTTAATGTGCTTTTCGAGGTATGGTGATGAAACACCGCCATCTTTCTTTTTCCGGCCTGCTGCAAATAATTTTTTAAGAGAAACACCTAGTTACTGATTTTGGCCCCACTCTAGATTCAAAGCTGGGACCGCCCTTCCGACTACGAGACCACCGAGGCAGTTTTATGAATTATTAGACACAGCTTGGTAACGATCACCTCATTCTCAGGTCCTTTTCCTTCCTATTCCTTGATATGATGACAGATATTTTACACAGGTTATGTTTTTAACTAGTTTATTGACTAGCATTGTACGTATTCTAAGATTTTGTTGCAGAATAGACGCTCTGTGAGACGAGTAACTGATGTTGGAACCTTGAGTTTGTTTCTAGTATTAATAGTATGAATTTCCCTCTTTTTTTAAAGCTTACGTTTTATGTTTTCTTCACATTTTTATAAATATACAACTTAATTAAACAGTCATAAAAATTAATAACATTAATTATAGCTTGTGATGTATTCCGTCTTAGTTCTTAAAGGTGCCGCTTTCCTTTTTTGCAACACCTTCTCTGTTTAAAGTTAGCTGTAGGTAACCATGGACCACAGTAGCCCACTTACCATCAGGTAAACTGTAAGGTCGTCTGTCATTTCTTTTTTAATATATAAAAAAAAACTCACAATGCACATTATCCCAGCGCTGGAACTCGCCGGCGACGAACAGCGGCAGTTTGCAGGAGACCGCTAGCGCCGCCATCTCGTCCAGCCGCGCGCGGTGCTGCTCGCTCCAGCGCCCTCGGCACTGCACGTTCACAATTATCACCGGCCGGCCGCATATGAGGAACACTGTTGACAAAAACAAACACCAATGATTGCAATTATTCAACCCACAGTTTTGTCAGAACCGAAAGCGGATTGAAGCGTGCGGTTTTGTGTATTAAATGTAACTATAAGTGGAAAACTGAATACGTTTTTCACGTGATAGAACCATGCTGCAGCTATATTATGGTTGTAGCACGAATGGCTCGACTCGACTAGGGAAGGACTATGCTCTCACAGAATACCAGAGTTAAACAGCAGCATTATGCTGCTGTTTAACTCTGGCGAGTGTGCAGACGGATATTATTTTTATTGATAACGAGGCATTCCATGTTAGTCCTCACGGGTGACAACGCATCTGCATTTTGATTCGTAATCGAGGATAGATGTCTGATCTATGACCTACGGCATCAACTTACCATCAGGTGAACTGTGAGCTCGATTGTCACTCTTATTATTATATGAGAGCGTGGTCCTTCCCCGGTCGAGCCGACCTATTCGTGCTACAACTATACTATTAATATAGCTGCACCGTGGCTCTACCACGTGCCAAAATTGCAACCTATCAGCAAATATAAATTCATAGATGATAAACGAAAATTAGACATTCCTTTGGGAACTAAATCCAGTAATCGTGATAAAACGAATGTTTACATTTTGATATCCATAACGTACGAGTATGACTGTTAAAAGTCATAACTGTAAACGTAAACGTAACTACATATTTTTCCTTGCGTCATGTGGTCTTTTATTTTACTTATTATTAAATCCTTCGTGTTTTAATACACGCTTTTATATATTTATCTACTTTCAATGTATATATTATCATCATCATCATCATCATTACAGCCCTTCACAAGTCCACTGCTGAACATAGGCCTCCCCCAAAGAATGCCACAAAGCACGGTCCTGAGCCACCTGCATCCATCGACTTCCTGCATGTCTTACCAGGTCGTCACTCCATCTCGTGGGGGGACGCCCTACACTTCGCCTACCGGTACGAGGCTGCCACTCGAGAACCTTTCTTCCCCATCGGTTGTCGGTTCTTCGAGCTATATGGCCGGCCCACTGCCACTTCAGCTTACTAATCCGTTGGGCTATTTAAGTACATATTTATTGATTATATGTGAATGCTTAGTCATATATATTTTTCAATAACTAGGGTATTATATACCCTTACCCTTTCTCACCGGTCATTGTATCCTCAGCTAAGTGCCAGGTAGAAATCACTGCTAACTTAATAATCTAACGTAACTTTGTATAATTTATGTTTTTTATTTTTTTATTTCCTTGTTTATTGGTGTACATAATGTATATTTCATTCATTCATTTATTTATAGTTGTATAGATATTCTTTCGAAACACACACAGACACACGGACGCAACATAGAAGTTAAATAGTTTAATAAATTTAGCAACAAGTCAGACGAGCGGCAAATATTTACAATGAGTGTAAGAATGAAGCTCAGAAATGAGTGGGTTTTCACCACTTAAATCTGCATGATGTGACAGTGCTGTTTGCTGATGGTTAAAACTGTTAGGATGGAATTCATTATCTTGAAAAGAGTTATAGTTAGTACTTATAATTCTATTTACATTAGTTATAAAGTATAGCGGTAGGCGAGGTGTGGGGCTACTCCCACGTAGATGGAATGACGACCTGGTAAGACATGCAGGAAGTCGATGGATGCAGGGAGGCCTATGTTCAGGAGTGGATTTGTGAAGGACTGCAATGATGATGATGATCACTATAGTTATAACATATCTATATTTATTTATTTTATTTTTATTTAAAACTTTATTGTACTTACCATAAAGGTTATAAAGTACTATATCTATATATATAAGTAAAATTGAAGTGTCTGTCTGTTATATCAAAATAACTGCCATAAATTGAGCTTATTATATTGGGGCTTATTTGCATGCCATTAAGACATGAATAACCATTTTTAGCCACCAAGACCCACCCAAAGGTGACTCCAACAGGGTCAACGAGCTAATTAACTCCTCACTAAGCCATTTACAGACCTTTTTGTATCTCAAAGAAATACTATAGAGGTATACTTCTACTATATGTATAAATACTTAATTTAAGTTTTGTAAGTAATTGTACAATCTGCGTTTTTTATTCTATAAATTTACTTTTTCAAAAAGTCCTGTTGGCTTTTCTTGCTAATTCTTATCAAATCAGGTTTATCCAAACCAGTGGTAAAAATAAAACAATACTTTTAATAGGAATTATTTTTAATCAATATTGAAGAAAAATTATTCTATTCTATATAAAATCTATGACATACATTCGAAGACATAAGTGGAAATTACAACGATTATTTAACGTGAACTTAACTCGGTTTGTTTTAAACATACAGCCTATATACTGCTGGGCACATGTTTTCTCTCATTTCTGAGAGGGATTTAGGACAAGGAAATGAACGGCCGCTATGTCCCACAATGCGTGTAGGCGAAGTTCACATGTCTTCGAAATATTTTATTTTATTTCGCAGACATGTAGGTTTCCTCACGATGTTTTTTTTCACCGCCGAGCACATGGTAAATAAGCACTTAAAATGGCAATTAACAATTTCATTGGTACAGGCGGGGATCGAACCTAATTTTGCTCGCGTACTGTGAAATTTACAGCGAGCACCTAGTCCCTGAATTACCACGGCTCTCGGTTTGTTTAAGGCATTCCATCTTGGTCCTCTTGAAGTTCGTTGCAGGTGTCTATGGGCAGGCAAGGTGGAGGAACTTAGAGGTGGACAGTAAGTTCCTTTGTCATTTCTTTTTAAAGTTTCGTGGTAAACAACACAATTTTTAATACGGACTATTCGTGTACCATCAAATTTAAGCAAGAACTTTGTGCCAGTAATTATCACGAAAACATTCAGTCATTATTACTGTCCTAAAAAAAAATTAGTAACAGCCATGTACAAGAGACAGTGGAAAGACCGCGCTTCTTCAATGCGTGACCGACATGAAGTCCTATAAATATTTTGTATTTAATTTTCCTAGATTTGTCGGGTTCCTCTACCTCAAAGCACTTGACAAACACTTTTAAATTACTTATAGATTAGCTATCGTGTGTCTTTTTACCGGGCTCCGCTACGCAAATGAGGGTAATGTGTTTATTAGCCTATATAATATTTATGCGTATGTATGTCTGTTCCTTTGTGGCGCTCTAGCGACCTCATGGGTCGATTTTGATGAATCTTACGTCAATCGATTTGTCTTAATCTTGTGTCACTGAAGTCATGACAGTATAAAATATTGGACATAGGAAATGTCATAGCAAAATGATATGTGACAGCTAACATCCCCCCCCCCCCTCGCCTCTCGACAGAATATATAAATAATAGAAGGGATCTAAGCTTGGAATATAGAGTATTCTACTCTATACTCCAAGCTGCAAGTTGTCGCAACTATATTGTTTTCTTTGTTTTGTCATTGTCACTGATTTCATGTGTCACTAAATGATATTACTGATTTACTGATAAATTTTCGTTTGGTTGCGTTGATTTATTTACGCCCTATCTTTTGCTTTTTTCTTTGCATTTACTTGTATCAACCGATTGCTTTATACTATAGTGAAGGATCAACATCTACAGGACATATACAGGACTTATTCCACTAACAGTAGTCTCAGATCAAGGATCATCTTTTAATTGCGAAAATGATGTTAGCGCACAATTATTAAACATAAAGAGCCTGTTTAAAGGACATGAAAAGGAAATGAGTAACGAAAGTGGTGAAACTGGTGAATCTTATATTGATTTCCCATTAATTCTAGAAGCAAGCTGCTGGCGTCTAAAATTACAGTCCCGTGCTTACACTGCAAAGTGGGTCATAAGAAAACTTGCTTCAAACATGAAGTGTCACGTGCAGAAACCACAAAAGAAAATACCTAGGTTCATAAGTGGATAACACATAGAGAGTATAAAAACTAGCAAGAAAAAGGTTGACATATTCAGCAGCATCAACTTTTTTCTTTATTTGCCATTGTTAGATATTTTGGTAATGTTTAAAAAAAAACTAATAATTATCAAGAAAAACACCCCCATTTTAAAATATTGGTAGTAAAATAAAAAATGCAATATTAAATAAATATCGCTTTGAGTATATTACATGTCGAAAGCATAGGACTGAAATAATAGACGCTTATCAATAATAATAAAACTAGGAATAAATGAATATTTTTCTATTTATGTTTTGCAAAATAAATATCTTTATTACTGGTGCACTATTATCAATAAAATTTTAAAAGGTGTAGATATTGTTCACTTAAAAAGAAGGCAGCTACCAGAAATTCAAAGTAAAGCTCTGTTAAAATATAAGAAAAATCTGAAAAATAAAGTGATAAATTTCAACATTGTTTCATTTGCATTTACCTCGTTTTATTTTCAATATTTGAAAATAAAATTTGCAATTAATTAATAAATGAACTTATTTGGGACGTCCTTTGCCTGGTATAGTTGCTTCAAATTAAAAAAAAAAAGAAATGTCATATATCATTTTGCTACAACCAATCAGGATGCAGAAGCTAACTCGGTAAGTTTAGTTCGTGAGATGTCCGTCTGATTCGGTAAGAATCTACTAGTTAGTCTGTGACAGTCGTAGAGTGACAGTATACAAAATTCAGTATGGCGACAACCAGACGCCACATTGTGAGAAAGAAAAAAATTAAAGTCGACGTACTATGTCAAGTGGGGTATCATCGAATAGATCTTTGAAAATCATCTTTAGGTTTCTCATATTATTTTTCATTTTGAATGACCACTTAGGATCTTTAACGATTTAAAGTTGGTTAGGAAATATTCTCACTTAAATTTTCAAAACTTGTAGTAATGTTGTGATAAACTTCTTAATATAATCATATATTAGGTCTTAATGACGTGAAAAATAATTATCCACTTTTAAGTAAACTGTTTTACGCAGTCGAGTTTTTTAATTACTGTTTTAACCATTAGCTTGTTCTCCTTATGAAGCTTCTTTTTAGAGGCGAAACATGTTTCGTATTATCGACAGTGGTG